CAAACCCATGGCCTACTATAAATTATATCTAACATCTTCTACCCTCATCCTCAGTCAATTACTACTAAACACTATACTAGAATAGTAGTATTCAATACAGTGGGCACTAGCTACATATTGCTGTTTAAATTTAAAATCAGCTGGACATGGTAGCTCAATTGTAGAATATTCCTGAGTTCAATCCCCAATGCTGCAAAATAAAGGAAGAAATAAAAAGAAAAATTAAATAAAATTCTGTTGTCCAGCTACTTGGGAGGCTAAACAGGAGGATGGCTTCTATCCAGAATTCAGGGCCAATATAGTGAGACCAATATAGTGAGACTTTACCTCTTTTTTTTTAATATTTATTTTTTAGTTTTCGGCGGACACAACAACTTTGTTTTGTATGTGGTGCTGAGGATCAAACCCGGGCCGCAAGCATGCCAGGCGAGCGCGCTACCACTTGAGCCACATCCCCAGCCGGAGACTCTACCTCTTAAGGAAAAATTTGGTTTTGCCTGGTAGTGCTGTATACCAGCGATTTGAGAGGCTGAGGCAGGAAGAATGCAAGTTTGGGGAGCAATTTAGCAAGATCCTGTATCAAAACAATAAAAGATAAAAACAGCTGGGGATGTAGCTCAGTGATAAAGTGCCCCTGGGCTAAATCCCCAGTACCATACACACACACACACACAAAAAAAAAAAAAAAAAAAAAAAAAAAGAAAGAAAGAAGGAAGAAACTCCCCCCCCCATGCCAAGTACTGGGGATTGAACCCAGGGTGCTTTACCAGTGAGCTATATCCCCCAAGTTCTCTTTTTCTTATAGTACATGTTATCACTTCTACTACTATTGCTTGGTTCATGTTACCATCACTCCTTGAGAAGTAAGTTAACCAGTCATAAGACAACTGTTTTGCAGTTGTCTTATGACTGGTTAACTTACTTCTACACTTGTATCCCTGTCATTATGTCCAACCTAAGCAGCTAAAATGATTTTTTTAATTAATTAATTATTATTGTTATTTAGTGTGTGTTTACTGAGAATTGAATCCAGGATGCTCTACCACTGAGCCAACTCCTCCATTCTTTTTATTTTTTATTTTAAGAAAGGGTCTCATTAAGTTGCCCAGGTTGCTCTCAAACTTTGGGGCCTCTGGGGCCTCCTGCCTGAACTTCCTGAGTAGCCAAGATAACAAGAATGTACCATGGTGCCCTGCAATGCTATTTTATGTAAAAATAACCATGTAAGGCTTAGTATGTGACAATTTTCTAGGAATTTTATAAATGTTGACTTAATTATTCTTTATAATGATTCTCTAAACACATACTATTGTTATCCCTGTTTACAGATGAGGATAATGAGGAACAGAAAGATTAATTTAACCAAGGTTGCCTAGATCATAGGACATAAATCATATTATGTTACTTCTTTGCTTATAACAGTCCAATGGTTACTCATCTTAGAGTACAAACCAAAGTGCCCCAGAGGCTTAATATGTCTATATAATAGTAATCTGCCCTTATTCTAAGATTCATTTCCATAGTCTCAGTTACCTGTGGTCAACCTTGATCTAAAACTGTTAAATGGAAAATTCCAGACATAAACAATTCATAAATTTCAAATTGTGCAGCATTAAGTAGCATGATGAACTATCATGCCTTCCCACTCCATGCTGAGACATAAATCATTCCTTTGTCCAGCATATCCATGCTGTATGTGCTACATGCCATTTCAGTTACTTAGTAGATATCTTGGTCATTAGATACACAGTAATGGTATGGCAGTACTTGTGTCCATATAACACTTATTTTATGTAATAATGATCCCAAAGTGCAAGAGTAGTGATGGAAATGAAACACCAGGGCATAAAACATAGAAGGACAGATCAACTCTGGTGCTATATAGCAAAACTGCAGTGTGCATAGAGGAAAACAGTATATATAAGGTTTGGCACTATCTATGGCTTCAAACCTCCATTGTGAGGCCCTTGCAGATTGTGGCAGTCTACTAGATTTGTATCCCCCTCTTCCCTACTTTATTTGCATATGTATTTATTATTATTATTTTGGTCTATTTCTTCCCAAACAAATGGAAGTGCCATCCCCCTAGACTCTCCATCCCAGCTTTTTTTTTTTTTTTTTTTTTTTTTTTGGTACCAGGGATTGAACTCAGGGGCACTCAACCACTGAGCCACACCCCCAGCCCTATTTTGTATTTTATTTAGAGACAGGATCTCACTGATTTGCTTAGTGCCTTGCTTTTGCTGAGGCTGGCGTTGAACTTGCAGATCCTCTTGACTTAGCATCCTGAGCCACTGGGATTACAGGCGTGCACCACCACACCTGGCTCCATCTCAGGTTTTAATGTGCCCTCCATTTAATGGTTGAATGTGACAGGCAGAATCACTAGGGCCCTGTCCACCTTCTACCATGCTTTTTTTCCCTCAGTGCCAAAACAATGCCTCCCATTGGCAGAAAGACCTTTTTTAAAAATAATTGTTGCACAAATTTTGTATTTTTGTATCTTTTTATATGTATCTTTTCTCATTTATTGTATGTGGAAACATGTTTAAGAAGAGAAATAGCTGGGCAGAGTGGCACATGCCTGTAGTCCCAGCTACTCAGGAGGCTGAGATGAAAGGATCACTTGAGCCTACGAGTTCAATGCCAGCCTGTGCAACATAGCTAGACCTTTGATTGATTAGTTGATAGAAAGGAAGGACAGGAATTCTGAAGAGTATTGTACAAACTTAATTTGTTTATGTGTTGCAGTTTTCAGGGTTTACCATCTTTTGAGGGTCTACACAAGGTTATACAAAGTAATACGTTGTATAAAGTTGAAATTTATGGGAGATACAAAACTCCCTTCAATAATGGAAAAGTTACTGCAGGTAAAAATTAAAAAAAAAAATCATTGCTCTTTAATTATATAAATATAACAGGAAATCGTGCTGTATATGTGTAATAAGAATTGTAATGCATTCCATTGCCATTTATTTAAAAAAAAAATCAATAAAAAATAACAGGAAAACAACAACAACAACAAAAAAAAACCACACACTAGAAATGAGAAGGAAAAGCCTAAAAAGAGTAGCTTTTGGTGGACTTAGTTTTTTTGTTGTTGTTTTTGGTGGACTTAGTTTGGATGAGGCCAATCTTAGATTCTGCCTTCTACTCAGAATTCCAGCAAAGAGCAATTGTGGAATGTTAGATTCCAAGAAGATTGCTCCTTTGTGGAATACCTGAAAAGTAATTCAGTAAATTGAAGTGTCTTTACTATTTTTAAGATCAAGGTAAAAGATGTTGAAAAGAAAATACACCAGCCAGGCCTGGTGGCACATCTGTACCCAGTGACTCTGGAGGCTGAGGCAGGAGAATACCAAGTTCAAAGCCACTCTCAGCAACTTAGCGGAGCCCCACGCAGTTCAACAAGACCCTGTCTCTAAAAAAAAAGGGCTGGGGATATAGCTTAGTGGTTAAGCACCCTTGGGTTTAAGTTAATCCCTGGTACTAACAAACAAACAAAAAGTCAAAGAATATTCATCAATAATAAATAATCAAATATTTTAAATGATGCTAGTAGTCAGTTTCAGGAGCTAAATGTTATTATTGTATTCTTTTTTCAACTTCGCTTTCTGAAATTATTTATGCACTCTCAGGTTTATTTGTTCAATATTTGCCTTAAATTGCTCAAATACTGCTTTTTTGAACTTTCCTCGACAGTTGTTTTCCTTTGGATAAAAAGAAAAGTTAATCCTTGTCACATTTAAAACATAAAACAAAATAAACAAGCGAGGTTTTCCATATCTACAAGAACCATCTCGCTAAATTGTAAAAAAAATGTTGTAAAAATTTGTAAAAAGAAAAAAATAATTCTGGGTTCCACTCGGAGATTTTGATTAGTAGCCGAAGTCATAGGGAGGCCAGTAGTCTAAAGACCATACCTCAAGAACTTATCTCAGTGCTATTTTCATATTTTGCAGCTTTCAATATATTAATTTTAGAAGTTTCCGGTGGAGGAGGGTACGAACTCGGGTGACAGTCAGAAGATAAGAGACTAAGCAGCAGCCCATGTCGTTCCATGTTGCAAAACTTTCCTTCAGTTTGTATACGTGTCCCTGGGGAGGAAATCAGTTCGTTTCACCGGCTAACTAACCGTTTTTCAACTACTTCTGTCCACGTCCCTCAGGGTGACACTCCAAAAGTCATGAACTCAAGTGGGCGGCGGAAGGTTAAAGAAAGCTCTGTTCGCCTTGCTTGTCCGCGCGGCCTTGCGAGGACGGGGTTCGCTTCCCGCCACCCGGGCTCCTCCTCCGCTCGTCCTCTGGGGTCCGGTCCTCCTGGAGGCGCCCCGCGCGGCAGGTCTTGGCGCCAACCGGGTGGCGGCGCTGTTGGCCCCGCGCGCGGCGGTCTCGGGCCCGAGGGAGGCGGAGGCACGGCCGGCGGAGGAAGGGGAGGGAGCGAGGCGCGCGCGCTGCTCTCGCGTGCTCTCGCGCCGCTCGCGTGACCGGCCGGTGTGTGTACGACGCGCCGGCTCCCGGGGGCTCGGACGGCCGGGCGCGCGCCGCGTCTAGGGGTGTCTAGGTCCCGGTCGGCACTAGGTGCGGGCGGGCGGGCCGCGGGGGTCCGGGGCGGACACACGCGCACACGCTCCCGGAGGAGCCTTCTCCGAGGCTGCTCTTCCTCGGCCAGACGGAGAGCGGCACTGTCTCCCCGCCCAGCGCATACTCGCCCCGCGTCTCCCCCCGCGGCGGCTGCTCCTCCTCGGCACCGCCAGCCCCAGCGCCGCTCCGGGGCGGGCGGGCGGGCGGCGGCGGGACCCGCGGAGCCGCTTTGTGTGCAGCCCGACGAGGGGCGGCGGCGCAACCACCTGACAGAGGCCCGGGCGCTTGATGCACCTTCCGCCCGCATGAGTAGGAGGTAAAGGCGGCGGCGGCTCGGCTCCCGCCCTCGGCTGGTGGAGGGAGGGGACGGAAGGGGAGAGCGGAGGGGGGGGGCGCGGGTCCGAGGCCCGGCGGGGTTGCCCGGAGGTGCCGCTGAGGCCTCGGCGGTGCCGGGTGGCGCCCAGTGGCCGGGGCCAAGAGAAGCCGCTGGGATCCCTCAGCCGAAGTTGAAGGAACAAAATGTGAAGTGCGGAGCCGCGTCAGCCGCTTCCTGGCGTGGGGTTGGGGGTGAGGGCGGCTTGTTTTCCCCTCCCGCGGGGGTGAGGAGCGGGACAGGGGAGGGGCGGGAGCGCAGCGGGGACTGCCCGGGCCCGGAATCTCAGCCGGGCGAGGGCGTTTTGTTCCCGGGAGCCGCGGCGGCGTGTGGGTCCGGTCGGGTCCCTAGTTTTGCGGCCTAAGCCGAGCCCTATAGGCCTCGCGTCTCCTTTCCCTGAGGGGAACGGCCGGGTGGGGACTCCGTGCTGCTCTCTGGCCGAGACCGGGCCTTGGGATCCTCGCCGGCCTCCCCCGGCTGACAAACTTAAGACCTTGGTGCTCGGGGGTACATTTCATTGTGAAAGGCGGAATGGGAAACTCTGGCCGCTGCTCGGCGCCTCCTGCGGCCGTGGTGGCTGGTGCCTGGGAGCCCCGCGGGCCCCTGGCTGGCGCGGGTGTGGGCGACGGGCCGTCGGTGGGGTCCGGGCCCCGGGACCGGGCGGATGAACAGTCTGCCTCCGGGTTCCCGGCCCCGGGGGAGAAAGAACCCGTTCCAGATTAGAGATTTTTGAAATGAAAAAAGAGGTTACAAAGTCGCCCCTTTCCCGCTGAACTTTGGTTTTCTGACCGATAGAGGCCGGTAGAGGACTGTGAAAGAAAAGTTGTCCCCCAGGATGGACTTCACCGCGCAGCCCAAGCCTGCCACTGCCCTGTGTGGCGTCGTGAGTGCGGACGGGAAGATCGCTTACCCTCCGGGAGTAAAGGAAATCACAGACAAGATCACCACCGACGAGATGATCAAACGACTGAAGGTAAGGTCTGAACCGACTATTCGCACTCAGAGATGTTTTTCAGACTCTGTCTCCTGTGGTATTACTGCACTACTCGGCCTGGCCTTACAGTTCAGCTACCAAGGTCCCCCCTGCACCCCTTCTTCTCATTTTATCTCTTCTAAAAGGTATTTGTTCTGTCTTGAATACATCTTTGAATAAGTTATGTAGGGAAATGACTTACGGGAAATTAAAAAGGAGTGTGATTTTAAAGAAAATATTACTGTTTTTCAAGCATAAGAATTCAGGTGTTTGTAAAGTACTCCCCCCACACACACCCCGTGAATATTTCGTTTTATGAGACTACTGTTTAAGTAGCTGTCATTCTTAAGTGTAGGCAGTAATTTGCCTAGGAACATTTCTGTTTTCATCAGCATCTGAGAAGTTTATAATCAGATGTGTGCTTAAACATTGACAGAAAGTACTGGTTTTTCAAAATTCAGACTTAAGGTGATGACTTAAGTTCCTGTGTTTATTTGAGCTTAAGAAAGAGTGTTGCTCTTTTTATGAGACCTCAACTTATTTAGTATAAGTATGGTGGTCATGTGAATTTCAACTTTAAGTTGATCAGTTCTTTGCTTTCCATTCCATGGACATAGATTGTGGTCACAGCCATTCTTGTGTGATCATCTTGAAGCAGTGGTTCTCAATTAGGGCAGCTTTGACCCCCAGGGAATATTAAAGGCAATGCCAGAGAATTTTGGTTGTCACAATTTGGGTTAGATTAGGGAAAGACCTGAGGCAGATCAGCTAGGAAAATGTTCAACACGGTAGTCTAGGTAAAAGATGTTAAAATCTTGCAAATAGTGCTATGACAGTGGGGATAGAGATAAGGAATGTTCAAGGGAAGTTTCAAAGTTAAAATCAGACATAGTGGGAGGTGACGGAAGAAACAATCTGGTGATTTTTCTTACTTGAACAACTTGGTGAATTTGTGGGAACTGATCTTGCCTCTTTTTTCTTAGAGTTTAGTACAGTACCTGGTAAATGTATACAATGTTGTTCTAAAGTATTCCTATAGTTTCTAAAATCTAATTAGACTCTTCAGTTTGTTGCTTTTTTGGAAGGGATAAGACACAGTTTCACTAAAACAGCTTTTTTTTTCCCTCTCCAAATTTTTAGTGGTACTGGGGGTTGAACCCAGAGCCTCACATGCTAAAGCATGCATTCTACCATTGACTTATACTCTGCAGCCTAAAACAAATTTTGATACCAAAGATTAGACATGAATTGAGGTACTTAATTTTGGGAGCAGGGTACTAGGGATTGAACCCAAGGTATTCTATTACTCAGTTAGACCCCCCCACCCCACACACACACACCTTTTTTTGTTATGGGAGTGTTGAACCTAGGGATGTTTAACCTCTGAGTTACATCCCTAGCCCTTTTTATTTTTTGAGACAGGGTCTAGCTAAGTTACTGATGGTGGCCTTAAACTTTCAATCCTCTTGCCTCAGCCTCCTGAGTCACTGGGATTACAGTCATTCCACCACACCCAGCTCCCAGTTTTTTGTTTTGAAATAGGGATCTCACTAGGTTTCTGAGGCTGACCTCCAACTTGTCCTCCTGCCTCAGCCTCCCAACCTGCTGGAATGAGGTATTTAATTGATGCTTCTTAAAGTTATTCTAGGTGTTTTGAGTGAGAACCTGAAAAATTGTGAAATATAAAGCTAAATAAGAAGTTTATAGATGTTAAATTTTATTTTCCAATTAAGAATATTCACACACTTAATTCTAGTGGTGAATAATTGATTGAAAGTGGAAAATTAGGGGCTGGGGATGTGGCTCAAGCGGTAACGTGCTCGCTTGGCATGCGTGGGGCGCTGGGTTCGATTCTTAGCACCACATAAAAATAAAGATGTTGTATCCACCGAAAACTGAAAGATAAATATTAAGAAATTCTCTCTTCTCTCTCTCTCTGTCTCTCTCTCTCTTTAAAAAAAAAAGTGGAAAATTATATCTTTATATTTTCCACTTGAAATAGGTTCAGTATCAGAAATACTGTTAACTATAAGTGGACATATAACCAAATCTAGGATGAGCATTGGGTTAGGCTATTTGTTATGAGTTCTTTTGGGAGTTATAATTGACATAACATTTTAGCCAATTTGAATGTCCAACTGCCAAAATTTTGTTATTCTTTTTATTGTGTATTCCTCCTGCTTTTCTTTTTGTATGTTTTTACAGAGTGCTTTTTAGGGATTCCTGTTGATATAAAGTATTATTGTCTCATTGGAACTGTAGGGCTTCATTGTTGTTGTTTTATAGTGTTGGTGATGAAACCCAGGTCTTTGTGCATGTTAAATACTCACTTTTTCTCTGAGCCACATTGCTCAGTCCAGAATTTTTTTTAATGTAGATTTTAAAAAAATATTTTTTAGTTGTTGATGGATCTTTATTGTATTTATTTGTATGTGGTGCTGAGAATTGAATCCAGTGCCTCACACATGTTAGGCAAGGATCATAATCCCAGCCCTTAATGTAGATTTTTAGCAATATTAACTATTTTAACATTTTGACAGCTTTTTTTTATTAGAACATTAGTTATGGGTAAATTTTATAAATCAGTAGTTTATTATTATAACATAGCAACAGTTTCTAATGCTGTATAAATATAGAGGGCTTAAAGGCAAGTAAAATCTTGGTCAAAGGAATCCAGAAATGTTTGATTTATTCTCTTCAGTTGTTAAGAAGGAACAAGCGTATTTTCAGCAGAATCATAATTTTAAAGTTAGAGGATTTTAAAAGAAATTCTGGAACCATCCTTACTTTACAGATGACAAAAGTTAAGCCCAGAGTGGCTAAGGAACATTTATCACTAATCACTATCAATCATAGGGCAGGTTACTGGCAGACTCAGGGCAATAGCATTTTTATTTTGGTTCTTAAATAACTTGCTGCTTGCTTTTTTTTTTAATTAAATCCCAGGATTGAAACCCTGGATGCTTTACCACTAAGTTGCATCCACAGTCCTTTAGTTTTTGTTTTGAGACAGAATGTCTGCCTTGTTGCCCAGACTGGCCTCAAACTTGCAATCACAATCCTTCTGCCTCAGCCTCCCAAATTGTTGGGAATTATAGGCATGTGCCACTGTACCTCATACTTGTGATCTTCTGCCTCAGCCTCCTGAGTAACTGGGATTAAGATTTGTGCCATTGTCCCTGTCATTTCAATTATTTTTAAGTTTATATTTATGTGATGTTAAGGACGTTCATATTGTTATACAACCATTACTACCAAACCATCTCCAGAGAACTTTTTCATCTTTGCCAACTGATACTGTACCCTTAAGCACTAACTCCCATTATTCTCTTCCCCCAGTCCTTGGCAATCACTGTTTTACTTTTTGTCTATGAATTTAACTACTCTAAAATACATGAAATCTCATGTATGTAAAACCATGCAATATTTATCCTTTTGTGATAGGCTTATTTTACTTAGCATAATGTCTTCAAGGTTTATCCATCTTGTAGCATGTGTCAGAATTTCTTTCCTTTTTAAGAATTCCTTTTCAACCAACAATAAAAAATTAAAAAAAAAAAAAAGAATTCCTTTTTAAGTATTCCATTGAGTGTATGGATCACATTTTGTTTCTGCATCATTCCTCAATTGTCACTTTTGGCTCTTGTAAGCAGTTTTGATTACATCACAGTTTTGTGGAACATAAATTCAGACAGGGTTTGGCATGCATATACTTTTTTTGGATGCTAGGCACACTTGTTGATAATCTATTGGTAATTAGGCTGATCTATAGAATCCACAGTGGTTTCATTTAAACACTTTTTTTTTTTTTCCTTTGGTACTGGGGGTTAAACTCTGGGGCACTTTACCACTGAACAACATTCCTAACCTTTTTATTTTTTATTTTTATTTATTATTATTTGGTACTAGAGATTGAATTCAGGGGTGCTTAATCACTGCACCACATCCCTAGACCTTTTTATATTTTATTTAGAGACAGGGTCTCACTAAGTTGCTTAGAGCTTCACTAAGTTGCCAAGGCTGGCTTTGAACTCAACAATCCTTCTGCCTCAGCCTCCTGAGTCACTGGGATTACACGCACATGCCACTACACCCAGTTTTTATTTTTTATTTTGAGGCAGGATCTCCCTAAGTTGCTAAGGCTGGACTTGAACTTGTGATCCTTCTACCTCACCCTCGGAGTCACTGGGATTACAGGCATGAGCCACCATATATGACATTTCACTTAAACGTTTGATGGTCTTAGTGACAATAGTTGAAAGTTTGTACTCAGCTGCTCCTTTTTCTATTTATGATGTAGTCTTAGGGTTTCTCCACCAGAGTAGCTGGACTTGTCTCCAAGACACCATAGTTGCCAGTACTTGATCTAGGATTGGTAGTATCACTTCTACCTTACTGAATTGATTAATCAGCCCAACTTACATTCAAGGGGAGAAAAAGTTGACTCTACCTTATTTTTTGTGGTGCTGGGGATTGAACACATAGATAAATGTACTACCTTTGAGCTAGGCGTCCATCTCTATTCACCTTTCAATGGAAGAAGTAGGAAAGAATTTGTAGCCATCTTTAATATGCCATAGGAGTTCTCATGACAAGTCAAAGTGTACTGATTGTTTACTTTGTAGTTACAAATTTGAAAAGCATTTTATTTCAAAAACAATAGTATATATTCATAGGCACCTAGCTTGATTTATAAAGTTAAAAAGCTGTAAGAAAAAGTTGTAGGATTTTTTTTTTTTTTTTAAGAAGGGGGAGGGTCTCATTTATGTTGCCTAGGCTGGCCTTGAACTTGAACTCCTGGGCTCAAACACCCAGGGCCTTGTGCATGATAGTTAGGTGCTCCACCACTGAGCTATATCCCCAATCTCTTAGACTAGGTAGTCCTTCCACTTATTGGGAGAGGGAAGGCTTCCTTAACAAGACACTTTTGAAGCATTCATGTTATATATCTTATAGTAATTCCATAATTGGATTTATCTCATTTCCTCATGCCTAGACTT